TATATCTATATCTATATCTATATCTATATCTATTATATATCTATTATATATCTATTATATATCTATTATATATTATATATCTATATCTTAATTTAATATATATAAAACTTAATTACATATACATAACTTAGTTATATATAGTATATATAATAAATATATAATACATTAATAATACATATTTATAAATTCAAGTAATTTTAAAGGTTTCTAATAGCACATATACTTACTATTTCAAAGTTACTTGATAGAAATCCAAGTAGAACTGAGATTTGGGATCTCTCATAAACCTTTCAGTTGCTGGGCTGGCAAGGAAAGTGGGTTTTATTTGATGTGCAACTGGGTAGGATATATTTCCAATTTCACATGGTTGTTGGCATGGTTCCATTACTTGTAAGTTGTCACACTAAGAGCTCTGGTCCCTGTTGTTTTTCAGCATACATAACTGTCATGTTCTTGCCAATTGCATTTCTGTATAAGGTAGTTAACTTTACTAAAGCACAAGAAAATGATGAGGGGAAAAAAAGTGAATGTTACCATATAAATAAATAAATAAATCACATGATAATATCTCTTCTAACTGCTCAGTTTTAGAACGCATATCACATTTTTAGATATTCATTTTAGTGGCATTATTTTTTTTTCTCTCTCCCATCTTCTCTCCCTCTGTCCCTTCCCCCCTCTCCCTCTTCCTCCCCTCTCTCTCTCACTGTGTGTTTGTGTGTATGAGACAGAGAGACAGAGAGGGATTTGATTTCAAACTGCCAACCTCTTAATAAATCATTCCAATTTTTTTTAACACTTTTGTGTTCAAGAACCAAGATACACTCTTAAGTTTCAAGACTTATTCACAATCCAAATACCAGGCATGGCTTGTAATACATGTGAAATTCAAATGGTGAAAAATATACTTCCAAAGTCATATGTTTCTTGGCAATAGTATCCTTCCAACCCAGGGAGATCAGTTGTCTTTGCTTTTTGATTAGATTGAGTGTTAGTAACATCACTACTTCCCCTATAGGCCACAAGGTATCCTCACTATATCATGGCAAATTGTTATGGGATACAGTCGAGAAAGATGGAAAACATGATAAAATTTGTAGTAGTGTAAGAATTAATAATGGAAGTAATCCTATATGCATGTTTATACTTCAGAAGTATAAATATATTGTGAATATACTCCAGAAAATAAGGAAAATTGACCAGAAGATTTTAAATCTGCTTGTCATACGCATGCCTCTCCTTTCAAGGTCACAGATACTCAAGAGATTTATAAAGCTAATTCATTCTTTAGATATAAATTTAAGACTAATCTTAGTTATCTGTTATCTTGTGTCTGTGTGTGGGCATTTACATGTGCCTGCATGAGTCCAGAAAAATATGTCATATTGGCTGGAGTAACTGGCATTTGAACTGCCTGACAAGGATATTGAAAACAGACCTAGAGCCTCATAGAAGAACAGAAACAGTAAACCTGCTTTCCAGCCTTGTTATCAATAGAATTAAACTTATTGTAGGTCTGGCAAGGGAAGATAGCTTAGGAAACATATCTATACATCGTATAAACTCAATCCAAAACATTTAATTTGATTATTTCTATCCTTCTGCTAACTGATTATTAAATTAATTCACGTGATTCTCAGGGAGAAAACAGTTAAATGCCAGTTACAGATTTTCACCATAAAGTGTAACAAATTAATATAGTTTTATTTTAGTTTCTTTTTTATATTACTTGTGAGTTCATATAATAAATTTTCAAATAATAAACACAAGCATGTATGATATTTTAATTCAATACAGCTCATGTGAGAAAACATTATAGATAATTGGAGAAAATGAGGCAGTTCAATAAGTGGGAAATGTTATGTCATCATTGGCATCTTTTCAAACCACTAAAGGTCTGCAAGAAGAAGAATGTATTGAAGTCTAAGAATATTCTATTGGCAATAAATTTAAAGTTCATAAGCAGTTTTGTATAAAAATCACAGAATGAACATATATATATATATATATATATATATATATATATGCACATACATGAATATAATCATACTTATTAGGATAAAAAAGAAGAAATACTGGCTAAAAGGACTCAGAAGAAGCAGAAAGGAATACATGAAAAGGCAAAATAAACTCTAAAAAGCAAAAATAACTTAAAAATAACAAATTAACATGCACAGCTTTTTTCCACGTCTACTTACATTGGTTCTAAGTGCATGTGAATATGTTTGCTAAATTGACAGTGAGCGCAGATCCCCAGATATTCAAGTATCGTCTGACAGTTAAACGTTATAGAAGGTTCATTTAAAGAAATACTATAAATGTAATAAAACTTAGAAGATGCTTCTACTTTTCTGATTTTGCTCATAATCTGCTATCATTCCAACTATTCTTCGTGTGTATGCAGTATATGAGGTTCAAGGAGTACTGACATTATTTGAAATTGCATTTGTCAAATGATATGGAACTCGAGCTAAGTCCCAGATATACTGAACAAGAATTTGTAATTTAAACTATCCAGTTGATTTGAATATGGATTAAATTTGAGAGGGGAAATCCTTAACAATCTTACCATAAGACTCAAAGGAAGCTCATTCCAATTCATCCCTTTAAAATAATTAGACATTGTCCTTGTGACCAAAAGCATTCGTGGGCTTTGATACGCCCGCCCAGGTAATTGATAGTGCAAGAACAGGATGCAGAAAGCCATTCCCTGGGTTAGGATGGTTCACTTAAGTCCTTGACAAATGCTGGTACTTTCGGACATCATATCTTTGCTGCTTTAGATACCTCTTGCTTCCAATAACCCTCCATTTACTGAACCACTTCTATGAAATAATGAAGCAGGATGCAGAAGCGGGTCTCCCAGGACATCAGAAGGATGTTGAGCCCATACAGCCACTACCTCTCCTCGATGGTACTCCAAACACTGTGAACCTGTCGCATTACTTAACTCCATATTTGCTCTGCTATTGAGCACACCATGGTGGTACTAGGCCAGTGGCCTCGTTCTGCATCGCACGTTGATCCCTCACAGTTCTTTCACTGTAAGGGTATAGAAGTGTGCATTTTATAACAAGATAATCTTTCTTTTTTCATACCTTAAACACATGGTACTTACAGTTTAATGATTTTTATATTTTGATATTATCGATACCAGAGCTGAAAGTAAAATGTGGTCTGATGATTTGTGAGCCATGCAGAATGCTGGGGGTTGCAACTTGGGCATTACAGTTTATAGTGTGCCAAACAGCTAGGCAAAATGAGAAGAGCATGCAATGCAAGCACCACCTCAGTCTCCTTGGCATCTCCTCAAGTGTGCCATGTGAATGAGAAAGCAATTGTGGACATGTAGCCATGTTACAATAAAACTTTATTTGTAGCCAGAAAAACTTGAATTTCCTAGCTTTTGTGTGTTACGAACTAAAATTTCTTTTAATTTTCAGGTTTTGTAGTTATGTAACTTTTGAGCTATTATTATGCCTCTCTCCCTAGGATGTTCTTGTTCTTTATTTTTGTTTTATTCGAGACATGGTCTCATTATACAGTGTAAGCTGGTTTCACATTCAAAGTAATTCTCCTGCCCTTGCCTCCTGAGTGCCAAGATTAAAGATGCTAGCTGTTAGTATTCTGTCTAAACTCCACCTCCACAGTTATCTGGCAATACCCAGGTATGCTCCTCCCCACAGTTACCTAGCAACAGCCAGGTAGGCCTGCCCACTGTAAAAGGGGCTGCTTGCCTCCTCCTCTCTCTAGTGTTCTCTTGCTCTCTTACCTCTAGCTTCTCAATGTCCCCTCCCCCCTCGCCCCTTCCCTTCTCCCTCTCTCCTGTGGTCATGGCCAGCCTCCAATTCTCTCCTCTCTCTCTCTCCTCTTTATCCACCATCTTCTCCCATTTCTTTCCCCCCACCTTTGCACTATCTCCTGAATAAACCCCCTCCTCTCATGGAACCGTCTGGTCTACTATGGTCTGTTCCAAGCTGCCATGCCTCCCTTTTCCTAGGATTTTTTTTCTTTTGTCTATTTCTCTTTGCATGAACTGTTCTCAGCCCTTATTTTTCTCATCTTACCTTTTAGAACTTAAAATGTAAAATTCACAACTAACTGTATTAGAAAAAAATCTTATGTATTTACCATGATGTACAATTACTGTAGCTTCTGATCATCAAAATTTGAAGACAAATGACTAATCAACTTTTCTGTAACTGACAAAATTTTGTAGTATTGTTAGTGTATTAGTGGGGAAAGGAAATTGACAGTAAAAAAATAAAATAAAAGTGTGCCTCTTGCATACTGTGTCCACAGTACCACACGGAGGGTTTCTCCATGCTGTTTCTCTTTGCCTAAGGTGGCATCTTGGGAGGAAGTCTTAACTCCAGCCTGTGTGAAAAGAATGATAACCAGAGTTGGACTGAACATAGGGTCTAATTGATGAATAATGCTGCTCAATACCCACCGAAGCAAATTAAATAAAAATGAAAGAAATTAAACCAGTGTTTTATTTTTAAAGATGTGAAGTAGAATTGCTGATATTAAACAAGTGAATTTTTCGACAGAATAGAAACTATTGCAACAATTCTCTATTTATTCTTCAGTTTTCGCCCTCAGGTTTCTACTTTGATTGCCAGGCTTTTTTTTTTTTTTTTTTTTTTTTTTTTTTTTTTTTTTTTTTTTTTTAGTTTCTCTTTTTGGTTCTGAAAGTAACTACATGGAAAATTAAATGTGTCACCGAGAATATTATAGACTTTAAGTTCCTCAATGACTAACCCGCATTTCAATTTTTTGGGACCAAAATTTAACTATTGAGAGCTCTCTTTTAAAGAGTCTTTCATTTCCAAAAAACTCCTACATTCATACATTGAATTATACAAATCTTATAAATGCATTAAAAGCTATACAGGCTTGCAGAAATATGTAAACATTATGTAATCAATATATTTTATAAAATAGACATTCAGTGTTACAATAGATAAAAATTCAACCATTAATAAATATGATAGTATTTACTATGAGTCTATATATAATCTATGAGTCTTAATATGTTTCAACAAGTGAACTATTTATCACTCAAGCATGTGTTTGCAGATTATTATGCTGTTTGGTCAAATATTACAAACAAATTATTTAGAATGCATTGATTTAATCATAAGGCTTCTTTCAAGAAATTACTTACAGCTGTCATTTGATCTTCAGGAAGGCTCATAGTTTTCACATAATTTATATCTAAAGGACTTTTGACTTAGTGCCTAGAAAGCAATTTAGCAAGCAATTTCATTTTTGAAGGAAGTACTAAAATCTCCTATCATTTTAGTTCTTGAGAAAGAAAAAGCCTGAAACAAATAAATTGCTGCCATATTCAGTGAAAGTCTTTTTTTTTTAAAGGTGGGATGAGAAATACATTCCAAGATGTTTCATTTTGAAAAGGTAATTTACATGGGTCTGTTTTTAAATGAGAGGACAGTGATGATCCATTTCTACAGCTACGTGCTCAATACAAAATCCCAAGAAAGCAAAACTATTGGCTCAACTATCTATTATAAATATGAATACTTTTATCAAAATAAAGTTCCTATATCAGAAATTGGTGGTGAATACTTACATACTTCTGTTATCTGAATACATTGGTATTTCTAATATTTGTTCTTTTAAAATAATTTTCATATATTTTGTTCATGATCCTATCCACCTTCCTACACACCCGTTTTCATGACCCCTTTCTCAAAGCAAAAACAAAAATAAGCAAACAAAACCACAAGACAAAAATTCCAAGACACACATACACACACACATATACACACACACACTCAAAAATTTTGGATTTTAATTTTTGTTGGCCAACTACTTCTGGGCAAGGAGCATGCCTTGGAATGTGGTTGATATGATCAGTGATATATCACTGGAGAAAACTTCCTTTTGCTTTGCCACCAGGCATCAGTTGCAGATATCTTTGACCCTATCCACTTACCCCTCTCAGTACTGGAACTCTATCTGTCTGGAACCTGTGTAAGTCTTCTGTATGTCGCCATAGTTGCTCTGAGTTCAAATGGGCATCAGTCCTGTATTTTCCTGGAAGGTGCTGTTTCCTACGAGTCATCTGTCACCTTTGACTCTTCTACTCTTCCTGTCTCCACTTCAGCATAGATCTGGGCCCGTGTTGTGGAGGTTGACTAAATATTCCATTTAGACTAAGTGTTCCAATTCCTCTCACTCTCTGCACATTGTCCAGTTGTAGATCTTTGTCGATTGGGATTAACTCAGATCTAATGTAAAAGGATGATGAGGGTTGAGCAATTTGCTTATCTACAGGTAAAACAGTATGTCCTCAGACATCATTCTGTTGCTGTGTCCCGTTAGCATATTTATTATCCCTCTGAGATCATGACTGAGCAAGTCTCAGGTTTGTATCCACTTTAGCAGTGCCAGGGATGGCTTGTATCTTGTGGAGTGGACCTTACATCCAAAAGGTAATTTTGGTTTAGTTTTTAAAAATTATCAAATATCAAAATAATATTATACACTCTATTATTTTTAATATGAAAAGTAATGGGAGTATTTAATTTACTAATTTATTTCTATATATGTCTTTATTTTTTCAAATAATCTTAGTAGGTTTACAAGATTTTTTTAATTTGATAGCTAGAACATCAGCTATTGTCATATCATCTGAAAAACATTAATGTTTTTGATTTATTCATGTGTTGTAGTTTAAAAAGTATTACACATTTTTTTTCAGTATCAAAGGAATGGAAAGGATTAGATCCGCCACGTGACTTCACAGTTAGTACTCACACCAGATGTTGCTCATACCTTCCATCCCACCCATTGTGAACCTAAGAAAAGGACTTGCCATACGTTTGAGTACAGCCTTACATACAAAGTGACTTAAAATGGAATTTAGAATACAGATTTATATGTTGGCTCCCTACTCCTCCCAAATCAAACTTCAAAACTGTGAGAGATAAAGGGAGCCTGTATACTCAGACAAGAAACTAACGGACATTTCTTTCTTTCATTTCCCCCATGATTCTTCTTTCTATACAAAGAAAAGCAGAATGCTAATTCAGGATGCAACTCAAGGAAAATTGAGTTTTTAAAATTAAACTATATGGTGTGGGAGAGGAGAAAAGATATTTGGAAATCTGTCCACAAATATGGAACAAGAAGGTCTGTGACAAGAGGAACACACACATAGGTTGAGAACATCATTTTGAGGAAGGCTTGGCAATAGAAGATACAGTAACTCATCATAATGAATCCACAGAAAAGAGACAGAGAGAAGTGAGCAGCTGACTTCTCAGCTTGCTTTCCCTTTTCTGTAATCTGGGAGCATTGCTCATTGGATAGTACTGGCCATATTCAGGGACCTTTTTTTCTCAGTTACATCTCTGTAAAGGCCATGGTAAACCCAACTCGGAAACTCAACTTGGTCTCTCCTAGATTCTAAATCATTTCAAGTTAAACTTGATTATAAATTATCACAGAAACTAAAGCAATATATGGTTTGGGAAAATCATTAGGCAAAAAGTATTTAAATTTTGAAACATTGAACTAACAACTTAGGTTTTCCATCTATAAGGAAATTATCCAAGTTAAGAGTTATAAAAATTAGCAGACTTGACTGTACTGTCTGTAATAGGAATCCCACGGTCTCAAATATGTGCCATGTAAATATATATTTGAACATCACTTATTTTTACTATTGCTTTTATTTTATATTATTTTATATATTTTTTAAATTTATGAGGTTATAATGTAACTACATCATT